ATTACCAATTTGGTGAAGTGAAATCAGTTCAAATTTGACTAAATGAAGGAAACAACAAAGAAACTTACAGTTTTCTCGTCACTACAGATTGCAAAGCTGGGTGAATTATCATCATGTCCGGATGCATCATCCGATCCTTGAGGTGTATGTGGCGGAGACACTGCAATTTATAAATTGATTACTCAAAATTCCTCTCTCGAAAAAAAATAGCGGTAGAAGATAAATGTGCTACCCACAACAAATTCTCGCAAAGCTAGAATGGTCGAACTTTTTCTCTCATGAAGTTCGTTGAATCAAACTGTTGTATTTCCTAGGCAAATATCAATTTAGTGAGTGAAATAAAACAATTAATCATAAAGGGTTTGTTTTTCAAGCAACTATCTTGAGGTATCGCTTGAACGTAGTCAAAATTTCCAAAAAATTTAGTGGAAGTGCTGTTTCGGAATTCGAAACTAAAGGTTAACCGCAGTCCTCGCCTTACTTCCGCATCTTTTTCTCTGTGAGAGGTGAAGACATTCAGAAATGATATAGCTGGTAGCAAGTGAAAAAGTCAACTCGCTAATAAGGCCTCCTTTCGAGGTCTGCTTATAAACAGGCCGATGGCGGAAGTTGGCTCTCTTCTAGCAACAGTGAATCAGTCATAGAGGGACAGTTAATCCAAATAGCAAAACTGAACCTTTTATTTTAATCTGTCACAATGCCACGGCCCAGGTAGTGTTGCAAATCAATAATTAATGTTGGGAATGGGGTACGACTCAGTGGACCGAAACATTCCTTTTCAGTATTTATTTAGCTCCCTAATGTATTACACATTTTTAATAGACTCGTAATATAATATTCTTTTTCCTATCACTTACCCTTTTAAACTTCTCCTGCCTGTTTTTCTCCTATTATTATTCTAAAAGTCCCGCTTTATTATTCCCTAGCCACATATGTATCACAAAAAAAAAACTCCAAAGCATAGCAACCATTTAAGGCAGCGGTTTTTGTTCTGGAGACCATTAGTCGTAGACCTTGCCGAATGGTGCCAGCTGGCCCTAAACCGCAGTCGTGTCGCCAGTCTACCTGAAATAAAAATTAACTCATAAAGCGATTTAAAAAACTGAAAAGGGCTCCCAGCGAGTCGAAGTAGAGGAGCAAGGTGAATGGTAAAAAAGTAATGAATAAAACGGCGGTTCGGAAAAAAATTCGAAATCGGAAAACGCAGATTCAAACTCTGCGCTCAATTGATTTAGCAGAAAGGTGAAAAAATTTTATTCAATACAGAAGCCGGACAGAGCTGAAAATATGCATTAAGGATGGGCTGCAAAAGTATGTGAATCTCGAAATTCCGGAACTTTTGTAAGTATCGGTTTTGAGATATGCACATGCAATTCAGATGTTTGTAAAATTCTTTAACAAACCAGTGCAGATTCCAGTTTTCCACGCATATCCATTGAAACAGCTAACGGCGCAATCGCTTGCTTGAAAAGTTCATCCACAGATTTGATCCCAATGGATTTCATTCCCGTACTGACCCGCGTGTTTTTTCGTTTTACCGACATACCTCGTTTTCGAGGTTTCTGAAATTTTCAATTCATTGAGACAATTTCAGTAGTAAGTTTTAGAAGATATGCAGCGCAATTTAGAAAACAGATTAGAAAAAAAAACAAATTACAAAAGGTCGAAAGTTTTCTAAAAAACTACAAACTTCCTTCATTAAAAAATTTTATCAAAAAAATTAAGAAATTTGAAAAATTTGGCGTTCAAATGGAACGTAACCAAGAAGTTATAAAGCATGAGCAGCATTTTGTGTTTCTCCTGAAATTTTCACAGAATCAGGATGTAAATTCCTCAAAACTATTGCGGAAATAGGCGCAACCTCAGAAAACAAAAAAAAAAATTTCGAGTTATAACGCTAAAAAAATCGCAGCACGGTTAATTAATAACTTTTAATGAAGTCATTTGTATCAGAAACAGTATCATGAACAAATTCGTAACCAAGAATACTCTTCCTCCCTCCTCCGCTTCCTTTACTATCCCCTTCATTCTTTCGCACCTTCTTCGCCTCCCTCCTACCACATTTCACATAAAATCTCTTTGATTTATGCAATTTTGAAGTAATTGCTGCCCTAAAACATGAAATTAACTTTAGAATTTAAGGAATGCATGTAATTTTGTTTGAAAAATGTTTTTTTTTTTTAACAGATAAAAGCAGTGAAACATTGCTTCAGCATTTGAAAGCTTTCACCACGCGTGAACTGAAATACCTGTAGAAAGATAAAGATATGACCAGTGGCTTGCTATCATGAACATATACAACCTCGACATAAGCTATTACATACAGGGACGCGAGGACTCCAAATATTACTTGAAATGTTAAGCACTTCTGCGATTTTTGAATTAGGCCATATCTATCCTGCACAGCCACAAAATAACTTTTGCCATTCTTTTCTCTAAGACATTTTCTTCAGAAAACCTTCCGGGTTTTTTTTGCACAAGACACTCGCAGATTCGGGAACAAATGAGCTTCGAGAAAACCAAGAAGGCTGGCCACTAGGGTATTCATTTTAAACAAAAACCACATTTCGTTTGCCGGATGTGCAGGATTTGCAGTGCATGCGCAGTGTGTGACAAATTCTCGCCAGTTACTTGAAAATGTTCCCAAAAGTGTTCGCAGTTTCATATTCCAGTGAAAACTGAATTTCGTCTTTACAATTCCAGATTTTCACGAATTATAACAACTAAACTGCTCGTTCACATATTTGGAAAAGTTATGGCTTATTTACAAGAATTATTTCAGGAGATTTTTTGTTTCTTTGTGAACGAAGTACCATGAGCGGTGAAGGGAGGTAGAAGAACAAAGCAACGAGAAATAATTCTAACGTAAGTCTGCTATGAAACGAATCCTAGAAGGACTTGTTTTTCGATTACTAGTATTCAGGTTTGAAATCTATCAGCAAGTAAAATGAAAGAGTTCATTTAAACGCTCACATAAAGTTACTTGGATCCGCTACGCTCAAAGCAGAAAATAGAAAAGCTGTAGATGGTACAGATAGCAAGAAGGAACAGCACTGTGATAAAGGAATTGATCAAAGTTCTCAGGACAGGAGAAGTGCGAAAAGCCTCTGATTACAGGAAAGCATCTGGCGCAAGCGTACGGTAGCCAGTTATTATGGTAGCCAGCCTAAGACACCTGAAAGAATCGGCACAAAAATTTCACAGCTCTATCAAGCACATACAGTAATTTGCAGAGCGATAACAAAAAACGAAATGTGAAAG